AATTAAAATTGATATATAGTAACCTTTTAAAATAATTCCGTGTTCTTAAAATTTAAATATAGGAGTTAGGAAAAGGTAATAAAGTCAGCTAGCTTAAAACAAATCAAACCTTTGAATTGCTTCAGTAAGGAGTTCAAGTTCATCAAGCGTGCCGTAGACATCATAAATGTCATCAATAGCAGAAGCAAATATAATGACTTTGGTTGAAAACCTTCGAGCCAATAAATACTCTGGCTCAGGGTACAACCCCAATATCCAAAAATAACATTCTATCAATCTATCTCGGGCAAAAGACAGCTTTGTGGAGAAGTCTAAATCTTTCCACCACCTGAAACACAACATAGTCCGAAATTCAACCCATTTAGATTATCCCACCTAATACATAGATAATTTTTCTGTAAGTTCATTAGTACTTACTTGGAAATATCACTGATTTCCTTCTGGTGCAGTCTTTGTAACATATTGAAATCCAACCTTGCAAAGCTTAATAATGTTTTGTCATGAGAAGGATCGGCTTGATATACAGGAATGAATCGTCTAGCCTCAAGCCTAGGCATGCCTGTGTGGACAGGTTGGTGTAAAGCATTTGTTACTTGAGCTGCAAGAGAAGGGTTGCTTAAGCTTGTAGCCATTGAACCAAGGTGAGTGGAAGTGAAAGACAATGCTTGATTCAAAACATCTTCTCCATGGGCCCTTAGATGCGTAGCCTCGTACAAGCTTAACATGCCTTTAGCATCATCAATTAGGGATTCCTTGAATTTCCCTCCCTTGTCCTTGAACTTTTTAAACATTTCTGCTTCACCAACCCAATATGTACATATTAAATTCCCAAACCATGTTAATTTTGTTGAACTCATTTATGTGGGAAATTTTTTGTTGACCACTTAATGAACAATAGATGGCATGGAAAGACGGATTTAGTTTTTACCACATGAAATTCTATAACCATGTTGCCGAAGTAGACGAAAATTTAGGGAAATGGTATAAAGATCATCATCCTCACTGGAACCAGCCTTAAAATCACTTTGGTTCATCACCTGCATTATTTGTCCCAAGATTTCATCAATCTCCTTGTGGAAATGGTATGACACGCCTAACCTTTGTATTGCGTCAATCAATTCAAGTTTCTTCAATGGTGCATCAACCACAGCCATCAGCTTCTCCTTCAGTTCCTCCTTCAGCTTTAAATGCTCCCTTTTCTCTCCCTCACTTTCCTGGACTAGTAAAAAATTGTTGGCATAAAAAAACTCGCAGGAACATTTCCTTTGGTTAGCAAAAGAGGGGATGTGTAGATTGAGGTGATAAAAAAAAAATAAATAAATAAAAGAAACGGCTAACTCAAAGCATATTCAGAAACCTAGTCTAAAATGGTTTTACCAAGTACGTACGTAGATAACAAAATTACCATGATATTGTTTGAGGCATATGAGAGAAAATGATCACCCCAGATGCTGGGATGAAAACCGGCAGATCGACGATTAATTTCAGGTTTGGAGTTTTGGGATGGAGCTGGAATTGATGTTGTAACTTGAACAAACATTTTTCACGTTCCTAACTTGGGAGAAGCTACTGAAGGATATTGAAGAACCAAACTAGCTAGCTTAGACCTTATGCACCATGCTCCAATGTATGGTTTCCTATTTATAGAGGTAGAAATTTCATGTAAACACTAAGCAACAAACTTTCATTTAAATCTGAAATTAATCAGGTCGTTTTCCATGGTTATTTCTCATTTCTCATTTCTCACGTGAGTTTTGTTGAAGGTCAAGCAAATTACAGATCATCCACTTTAAAGCAAATTATTATGGTATGTAGTTTTCTCAAATTTATTTATAAAACCTTTTTTTTTTTCTTGGCCTTATACTTATAAAAAACCAAGGGTTTTTATTTTATTTTATTTTCTCTTTAACAAATTTTCAGATTTGTAAAAGAAAATTTTACTTAAAAGTATATTTTTAAGTTTTGCCAAACCGCCCCATAACCACTCATCTTAGTTTGCAATCAGCACTAAATGTGAGACAATTAAATAAAAGCATTCCAGAGCCATGGGCTAGTGAATGGAGGTGGTTGCTTCGTCACTGTAGGAGTAGATCAGAAAGTAAGAAGAAACTGTGTAGCATTAGCTGTATACTGCTGGTGGAGAGAAACATTAGGCTGTTCCAAGGAAAAAGCTATAAAATGCGCACCGATCAATTTATATTGTTTGTTAATTGTTTAATTTGAGATTTGCATAATGGAATAATGGAATTCCTCGGATATAACTGGGCATATTGTCGCGTACATGGATCCAACGCCATTGAAAGGTTGTGTAAAATGTTGAAAATGGGGTTCTTTGAGCTTTTTATCTCCACTGTTCATGACACTTTTTTTTTTTAACAATGGGAGAATTTTTTTAAGTGGTAGGAGTAGAATTTTCAATCACTTAAATCCAAATTCTTAAAATTGGTGAAAAATCATCAAGCTCATTGAGCTGGTTTCACTGTTCATGGCATTTATTACCACCTAGTAAGGTGTTGAAATTTACTCATGGCGTCTATAGTCATGTTGACACTAATGTTTGAAATTTTGACTTAACGATTGACCCATTTTCACAATCAGGTCTAATTCAAGTGACTTAATTAGTTAGTTAAATATGATTAACTAAAAACTTTGGCTTTTTTTATTTTTTTATATATTTTACTATTATTTATTATTATTACTCTATTTTTAAAAAAAATTAATTTAAAAACATCATAGAAGTCACTTAAAAAATTTTATTTAATTAAATATATCTAATTCAAAACTCAATTTTAAAATCTACTAAAGATATAACATAAAAAAAAATTTCAAAATCCAAATTAAAAACATAAATATCTAGGTAAATAAGTACGGCACAACAAGGAGAAGCTCAATTCAAACTAAATCCACACCAAAATAAGTCTTAAATAGCTAATAAAGAAAAAAAATCCATAACAAGTATATATGTTAAATAACTTTGAAATTAATTTCAAAACAAAATAAGTCTTAAGTGTACATATGTAGCAGATGAATTTTGTGAAGTTAAATTTTGTCAAAAGATGATATTATTTTGCTTCCACAAACATAC